GTGAGGCTGACTTTTAAAAGAATACTATGATGTCATAATCAGGTGTCAGATACAACTTTCCTTAATTCAAGTTTGAACACTAAATTATAAATAGAAGAGATTGTAAGAACTAGTCTCATCTCTTTAAGAGCAAATCTTTAATGGCAGAAAAAGAGAAGATAAACTACCAGAATTTTGGCTGAAACATCAAGTTGATAGACTAGCCCTGGCCAGGTAGCCCTGTTGGTTGGAGCATAGACCGGCACACCAAAAGGTTGCGATTCAATTCCTGGGTTGGGGGGGGGGGGGGGCCTTCCATGTTTCTCTCCCTAAAAATCAATAAAAACGTGTCCTTGGGTATGGATTAAAAGAATGCTGGAAATATGGGGGATGTGATTGAAGAAAGGGTATGCTAAATCAGGTAGTTTGGGGTTATGATGTCAGTATGATCCATTTTCCTAACAGTTGTCATAAAAGTCATTTGTTCGCAAATAATGTGTAAGGTTTTAACTTTGAAATTTTGCAGGCAGCCTGGGAAGGAGGACTGGCCGCACCCCTGCCACCCGCCTTGCGCCCCTGAGCTGCGCAGCGTGCAAGCGGCACATCAGGTACTGCCCCCCTCGCGCTGTGCTCTCGTGCAGAGCCTGTTACTGAGGAGTGATGACAGGAAAGGCCGAATCGCAGTGCTCGCCGGCAGTTTGCTCTCTGCGGCTGCACGATGACAAAGCCTCCTGAAGCGAACATGGTCTGACCTCAGTCACGGCACGCAAGCCTCGGGCTGGGGCGCGCTTTCCGAGAGGGGCTGCTAGGGCTCAGATGGTTGTAAGATAAAAGAATGACTCTTGGCCAGCACTAGCCCTCAGTGGGACTAGGTGCTCTCTGTGTGCTTTCCCTGTACTTGCTGAAACGTGACCGTAGCAGACGTTCGGGAACAGGTGTGTCCCCATCTGGAGGAAGGACCCGGGGTGACCGGTCCCCCGTTCACAGAGCTTCGTTGAGCAAGTTTCTTGTGAGCAGATTGAGGTGCATTTGCGCAGTGGAGGCTGAGGTGGTCAGTAGGCCCTGTCCCTCACTAGAACGTGTGGCTGGCTGTGCTGGTGAGAGCAGTTTCTTCACTCAGTGTAAACCCTGCTCTGGTTTACAAAGCACAGGATGCCGGCCTGAAGCAAAGCTGGTCTCACAGCATAAGACACGTGGTGCTTCTGGGACGTAACCAGTTAGAAAACCCCGCACCCCGCGGAGCCTGGAGCTGATGGCAATAAAGTCTTAGCCCCTCATCTGGGCGCCTGCAAAAAAATAAAAATAAAAAAAAATAAAACCCCCACACCTTTCCTGCTTAGTTTAGTTTTTGAAGTTTTAAAAACAAGGATTTCATTCAAAAGTGCCGATGTGTATTATAAAAGTGAAATTTCTACAGTGTCAACATACAGCTAGAAATGTACTTATTCTAACGAATATGAAGTTGTGAATTGAGAAAGGTATTTGCATTAATTTAAAATTAATGTAAGACTAGAGAACCAGCCCATTCGTTTTGCTGAGCCGCAGCTTGTGTGGCCGGTGAGGACCGGGCACCACTGCTCGTGCCGAGTGCAGTGCCTGCGTCCAGGCTGTGGAACTGCTTTCGGAAGCATCTTGTTTGTTCCCGAGAACAGCAGTGACTGCAGACAGACCAGACAGAAAATGAATCAGCAAAGTGTCTTGGGTCGAGGGTGCAAGAACTTGAGCGGATATGTAAAAAGTTCTTCCATGCATTGGTTTCCAGACCCTTAAAATGTGATATTAAAGGGATGTCACTCAAAATATTATTTAAATTACAGGGTGGGTCAAAAGTGGATTTACAGTTGTTCACATGGAAAGTAAAACAGTAATAAATTATACAAGAATAAGCTGTTTTTCATACTCAACTGTGAACCCACTTTTGCCCCTCCCTCCACCGGAAGGCGGATCATCCCAAATTGTGTAGGACGGTGCATGCTGCTTAGAATTACAGGAGAGTGTGTGCTCTCTAAGATCGGTGAGTGATACCATTTCTTATTGCTTCAGTGAATAATTAGAGAAGTGTATTTCAATAGTTATAATTTAGGGTCCCAAATATTCTTTTTGAAGTAACTTCTTTTGCCCTGTTACTCAGTATTGTCTTCTTTTTAACAGGTGCCTTGAAGACATTAAAGCAATGGAACTAGGAAATCCAGAGAATTCAAGATGTTGGGTTTTTGTTTTTGTTTTTAATAAGTTAAATTGAATTTGTCTGCGAGCACTTAAAAGTTGATTGTACCAAAAAAAAAAGGACATCAGAGGGCCTGCGGCCGCACTCCTCCAGCGGGCAGTGGTGGAAACTGCCATTTAAAAAGTATTTGGATCGTGAACTTTTGTTCCCCCAATGCTAGTATGCAAAACCCTGATGCCCTCATTGAGGGAGAGGAATCGGACGTCTGAAGGTGCTCTTGTCACATCAGCTTGGATCCTTAGTTTAAGCAAATATATTTATAAGTCCCTTACTTCCTTAGGATATACCTGAGATCAAATTTATTATAAACCAGGAGTGTTACTTTTCAAACGTTGTAAGATTGAAACTTGTACTTCACATCACTAGGCTTGGTTTTCTTGAACTTTTTGCTTAAGATTGGACTGGAACTGTGGTCGGCAAACTGCGGCTCGTGAGCCACATGCAGCTCTTTGGCCCCTTGAGTGTGGCTCTTCCTAAGCCTTAGGAGCACCCTAATTAAGTTAATAACAATGTACCTACCTATATAGTTTAAGTTTAAAAAATTTGGCTCTCTCCCTGACTGGTTTGGCTCAGTGGATAGAGCATCAGCCTGCAGACTGAAGGGTCCCAGGTTCGATTGCAGTCAAGGGCATGTACCTTGGTTGCGGGCACATGCCCAGTGGTGGGTGTGCAGGAGGCAGCTGATCGATGTTTCTCTCTCATCGATGTTTCTAACTCTCTAGCCCTCTCCCTTCCTCTCTGTACAAAATCAATAAAATATATTTTTTTTAAAAAATTGGCTCTCAAAAGAAATTTCAACCATTGTACTGTTGATATTTGGCTCTGTTGACTAATGAGTTTGCCTACCACTGGACTGGAAGATAATCTATACTAATAAAAGGGTAATATGCTAATTAGACCTGGAGACCTTCCAGACAAAGCCATGGTGGCAGGGCTGGGGCAGAGGCTGTTAGGGGTGATCAGGCCAGGAGGGAAGGGGAGGGGAGGGCAGTTGGAGGCGAGCAGGCTGGCGGGGGTGCGGGGGGCAGTTGGGGGCAAGTAGGCCAGCAGGGTGTGGCAGTTGGGGGCGAGAAGGCTGGCAGGCAGAGTGGTTAGGGGTGGTCAGGCAGGTGAGTGGTTAGGAGCCAGCGGCCCCGGATTGTGAGAGGGATGTCTGACTGCCGGGATCAGGCCTAAACTGGCAGTCAGACATCCCCCAAGGGGTCCCAGATTGGAGAGGGTGCAGGCTGGGCTGAGGGACACCCTCCCCCTCCCCGTGCACTGGCCTCTAGTCTATATAATAAAACCCTAATACGCAAATCGACCGAATGGTGGAACCGGTCACTATGATGTGCACTGACCACCAGGGGGCAGATGCTCAACACCTCCAAGAGGGAGGCGACCGGCTAGCAGGTGGCACCAGGCTGCCAAGCCAAGGCAGGTGCCAGCAGGGGGTCACCCCACCCGCCGGTCACCCCGCAGATGGCCCTAATCGCGGGTCAGGCTCAGGGACCCTACCCTATATATTGGGAACAGTCCCTTAAATTTAAAAATTAAAATCTGGCAAGGCGCCAAGACCGGTTTGGCTCAGTGGATGGAGCGTCGGCCTGCGGACTGAAGGGTCCCGGGTTCGATTCCGGTCAAGGGCATGTACTTGGGTTGCGGGCATGTCCCCCGTGGGAGATGTGCAGGAGGCAGCTGGTCGATGTTTCTCTCCCATCGATGTTTCTGACTATCTCTCTCCCTTCCTCTCTGTAAAAAATCAATAAAATATATTAAAAAAAAAAAATCTGGCAAGGCTACTCTAACTGAAAAAACAGGATGATGCAGCGATGACATGCATGGACTCTGGCTTGCACATTTTCTGGTCAGCCCTGATTCTGACACGTGTCTCTGCTTCAGTTTTTCCACCCATAAGATGGGGAAAATGGTACTACTGCCTCAGAAGGATCATGTTATAATCGGGGGGAAATGTCGCTGCCCATACAACAGCAAGATACCTTTCACCTGCATGAAAAGCATGGTCACTGGTGCATGCGGTGTCTCGGATTGCAACAGGGGTGTCCAGGTGCCGGTTTAGGCCCGACATCCCCCGAGGAGTCCAGGATTGCGAGATGGTGCAGGCTGGGCTGAGGGGACTGCCCCCCCTGCACACGAATTTCGTCAAGGTTTCTCTATAAAATACAGTGGAACCTTGGGGCTCAAACTTAATTTGTTCAGAAGGCTGTTGGAGAAGTGATTTGTTCAAAAACCGAACCATTTTCCACATTAAAAATGTAAATTGAATTAATACATTCCAGGCCCCTAAATTCCATTTTAACCTTTCTCATACACAGTACATACTGTTTAACCTATGAACAAACACGTCTTTTCTTACATTTATCAAACCACCCCCTTCAGCACTGGTCCAGGGGTGTCTTTCAGGGCAGCCTGTGGCATCTTTGCTTGGTCACGTGTCACTGACTGGAAATGGTGCCACAGGCGAACTGCTTTTCCTTCACCCAAATCAGCCAGTTTTCCTGCCTCTTCAACTGCCTGTGGTCATTGCTTCTTTCACACCCTTAGCCTCAGTAGCACTCTTGATGCCTCTTAATATCTTAAAACTGCTACTCATCCATTTCATGAAAATATTCACAGCTCAGCAGTCAAAAACTAAAGTTTGGTTCCACAACTGAGACATTTTTTCCATTGAGAACTGAATTGTTTGAGCTGAGAGACGTTTAAGAAACAAGGTTTGACTGTACATGCTTTGAAAATACCTCGGTATATGAATAATTTTTCACAATTTCTTCAAGAAAAAAATACATTCTGATCATAGAGTTTATAAAAAACAACTTTAATATAAGGCACTGTTGTCCTGAGCCCACACAATGCCCTCCTGCTTCTGGGTCGGCACCTGCACCCCCAGCAGCGCAAGCAGTTTATTTTACATGGAGATTCCTCCCCAAAGTACAGACGATGTTTCTCCTCAAAAATTACTATCCTAGACTCGTAACTGAACTAAAGAACATCTCGAGAAAAAAAAAAAAAAACTATACCAGCTGTTATAACCCTGATCAAGGTTTCTAAGACTTCCCTTGTTTATAAGAGGCCCAGGAAATGAATTTATTCTTGTTATATCTGTTAAGTCCTCAAAACAAGAAAGGATAAAGCTACAAGTATGTCCTTGGTTCAAACTCTGCTTAATGAAAAGAGTTACCTTCGTAATGGGTTCAAGGATCAACCTTCTGTTTGCCACTTGACCCAAAAACATTCAACTGATTTCACCTCAAGGTCAGTACAGCAAAGTCTTAGTCGTCATTTTCTCTCATTAAATACGTTTAACATCGGAACTTTAGGAAAGCTGGATTCTTAATCAGAAGCCTGCAATTTATTTTAACAAAAACACCTTGCTTTTTAGTGCTAAGGACCTCACCTACTTTTTTGCAATAATCTTTCTTTGGATAACCATTCCTTCTGTAAGACACCTAAAGACATATTTCAAGTTCTTACCAAAAATTCTTCTGAAGGAAAAAGTCACCCAGGAAAGTTAAGCTTTGCTTTAAGTAGCTAAAGTGTTGTTTATATGTATTACAACAAAAAATCTACTCAGGGTTATAACAGTTAAAACTGAGATCACAGCACAGCTGAACAACAGGTGGTGCTGATGAGGTACTACTTTGACATTTTGGTCTCGGAAGGCGTGTCCCCAGTGTCCAATGTCTTCAACAACCGGAAAAGGCCGGCAGCTTCTCGGATCCTACTGAACTCAATGCAGAACGCCTGCACTTCTATAAACAAGTCCTGCACGTTGATGATTTTGTTACGGATCAAGGATTGAAGAAAGACACACACCAGACGCACCAAACGATTCTGAAAAAGAAAAGAAAAATTCTGTGTGCCCATTTTCTTGGCAGGTTATTTATAAAATTTACTAAAATTTCTATTCGTTACCTGCATATACTTATCCTTAATCTGTTCACAAGTAGAGATGCAATTTGATATGTAAAGGTGGATGAACTCAGGAGGTAGGTCAACAGCTGTAGTCAGTCTGTGTCAGAGTAGAAGAGTAGGGTTATTTTATATGCTCACATCAAAGAACATTGTTAACCATAAGATAGCACGTTTCCTTTGGTCTTCTCGTGTAAATTTCTGACGACCAATTTAGCTAGTTTTACATATACTTATGCAAATAACCCTAAGAGCCATGCCCATCTGTTAATAAATGACACTTGCATTTGGTAAGTGTCACTTTGCATTATGCATTGTAATCACTCATTAAGCAACCAATTCTGTGAGCACCATGTCTCTGTTTTGGCTGAATCATAATTCAGTTATTTTTTCCAAGCTCTAATAACCCTGACAATGATTCCATTCATTTACTAAACTCTGATTACATATAAGTGCTATGCAAAGCAGTGTGTGTGAGGGAGGTGTAAGTTTAGTAGCTAAACTGTACAATATAACTTAAGTGCTAGAAAGAGTAATAATGTAAGTGAAAAGAGTTGGGAAAAGTCTTAAAAGGACGAATGACTTAAATTGACACTTCAGTAGAGGTGTCAATGGTCTGAGTAAAGCTTGGAGCCAGGGGTTCACAGGGTACTCAAGACCTTTGCCTTCAGACCTCGTGGGGGAGGGGAGGGGGCACGTGGCTGAAGGTTAACAAAAGGCAGGGTATGGGGAGATCAGTTTAGAGCAGCCATGGGCAAACTACGGCCCGTTTGAAATGAATAAAACTAAAAAAAAAAAAAAGACCGTACCCTTTTATGTAATGATGTTTACTTTGAATTTATATTAGTTCACACAAACACTCCATCCATGCTTTTGTTCCGGCCCTCCGGTCCAGTTTAAGAACCCATTGTGGCCCTCGAGTCAAAAAGTTTGCCCACCCCTGGTTTAGAGTCTCAAAAGGGGAAGCTGGTATTTTTAAAAGGACTCTAGGGAATGTTTATGGAAAAATAAAAAAAGGTATGCATGCTAACTATACAGTATGCATTTCTGGAAGAAACAAAACATTCCTAAGTCTAGAACTTTATCCATTGGGCGCTGAGGAACTAGGGTTCTAAGGAAACATCACCAGAGGCTGCTGCGGCCACAGCTGCTTCACACTCAAGAGTGACTCACGATCACGAGGGGGGGGGGGGGGACACAAAGCAGATCTTGTTCTTGAGATCACTGAGTGATTCTTGGACTAAGTGCGAATGTCTGACAGTAACTTCCACAAGAACGTGGTGAGGGGAAGAGGAGCCCTCGGCTCGGTCCACCCCTGGACCTGACAGAATGCAGCCCTAAGAAGAGCGGTCTAAGGGCACGGGACAGGCCTCAAGGAGAAGGCAGGCGAAGCAGCGTGTTTTAAATGCGCAGCTCACCAGCTGCACCAGTAACGGAAAGTACAGCTAAAACCTCATGCTGCCTTTCCCACCCCACAAAGAAACACTCTCCTACTTGGGGTCACCTGGCTTCAGCTAGACTTTTTTCACTAGTTGATTAACTTAAAAGGACATGTTCTTTTTTTTTTTTTCTTCTTTAAATATGGAATGCTTCACGAATTTGCATGTCATCCTTGCACAGGGGCCATGCTAATCTGTATCGTTCCAATTACAGTATATGAGAGGCCCGGTACACGAAATTTGTGCACTTGGGGTGGGGGGGCGGGGGAGGGTCCCTCAGTCCAGCCTGTGCCCTCTCACAGTCCAGGAGCCCTAGGGGGATGTCCAACTGCCATGGAGGCAGGAGAGGCTCCCACCACTGTCACTGCGCTCACCAGCTATGTACCCGGCTCAGGGCTTCTGGCTGAGCGGCGCTCCCCCTGTGGGAGCACACTGACCACCAGGGGGAAGCTCCTGCATTGAGCATCTGCCCCCTGGTGGTCAGTGCACGTCATAGCGACCAGTCGTTCAGTCGATTTGCACATTAGCCTTTTATTACATAGGATTATATAGGATTAATGCTAAATATGTGAAATCCTACCCTCTGGGTTCTTTCCTGGGGATGCTAAATTTACATGCAGTGAACACTAAGGCTCAGATTATTTAATTTATTGGGTTTTCTCAGGCTAAGACCAGAAAAAACTTTGTGGTCGTTTTTCCCTGCTGGCCATGTAATCAGGTCTCTCCACCCCCCGTCTGACCACGAGTAGGGACTTACCGGTTCACCACTTCCATGGAATGTAAAGACATATCCATATTGACCAGGACTGAAAAGTACTCGGTGATCTGGCTGGACTGCATCAGCTTCAGCAGCATCTCTATGGCGACAAGAGGGTTGTTCTCCACCAGGTCAGGAAGCTTGGCTGGCGTGAGGCCAATATGATAAACAAGTTTGGGGTCTTTTTCCAACTCACCAAGGAGCTAAGTTTTTTTTTAAAAAAAAAAGAGGTTCTTGAGTCAAAGTAGCATTCTCTTTGCTGCATACAAAAATACATATTTTATTTACAAGCAGCTACAAAATTACCTGCATTGAACCAACTTCATAAATTTCTTCCCTGAAATACATGATCATAATGACTTGGTATTTTTCAATTTACATCTGAATTATAATGATTTTAAAATATAAACACCTCTATTATTGTTACTTTTTCCTCACCTGAGGATACGTTTTATTGATTTTGAGAGAGAGAGAGAGAGAGAGAGAGAGAGAGATCAATTGGTTGCCTCCTGTGTGCGTCCCAACCAGGGATCAAACCAGAAACGTAGGTATGTGCCCTGACTGGGAATCAAACCCACAATCTTTGTGGTATACGGGATGACACTCCAATCAACTGAGCCACCCGGCCAGGGCGATAAATTAAGACAGTTTATAAATATGCCAGTGATTCCTCCTGGGAATTAAGCCAGACTCAATATTGTCTGGTTGAATAAAATAAGTGGATTGTAACAACATCGTCCTTAAGTCCTTTGTGGGTTTCTTTTTCTGTCAAAAATAATTTTATTTACCAACCAGTTCCCCTAAAAAACCTAGACCGTAGAGAATTGAGGGACATCTAAACAACTGCACAGCCCCGCTCCAGGTGGGAAAAGGAAGCCTGGAGAGGGAGCAGGGTGGGGAGGGGGGAGCAGGCTGGGGAGGGGGGAGTAGCCAGGGGAGCGGGGAGCAGGCTGGGGAGGGGGGAGTAGCGTGGGGAGGGGGGGCTTTCTTGCAATCCACCCCTTTGCAGTATTTATGGTTCAAGCCACAAGCATACTTGTAATTCAAAAACAATTTTTTTCCTGCCAAATAATCAATTACTTTTACTTTAAAATTGTCTATGTTCTGTCCCCTATGTACTTTATGTACCAGAGTGGACTGTGCTTCTGGGAGGCCTAGTAAGTAAAGTGAACTACAAACAGCTGCCTACCTGACTCTGAAAGGAGTATTTCTGGTGGTAACTGCACTGGAGATGTCAGCATCTCCTGACAGGGTCTAATGTCAATGTGCGACCGGAACAGGAGTCACCAACCAGACACCACCCACAGGGTGTCCTTGCCTTTCCCTCAAGGGCAGCGGGGCCCACTGTGAGCCTCAACCCCACTCCTACCCAGCGGTGTGATGGGGCGAGTTTACCACCTGCGCTTCCTCCTTCCTCCCCCATGACAGGCTGAGAAGTCGCTCACCCTCAGGAGGTTCCTGTCCAGCCACATGGATTGTCTGGCTGGCACATAGCGGGAGCCAAGTGCCAAAAAAGCCCCTCCCCCTCTCCCAAAGTCACACTGACCCCAAACAAACCTGGGCACATGGTTAGTCACCAAGCTCCTGCCCCACCTGTGGGCGGGCAGAGCAGCGCTTCAGATCACCCTAGGCCAGTGATGGTGAACCTTTTGAGCTGGGCGTGTCAGCATTTTGAAAAACCCTAACTTAACTCTGGTGCTGTGTCACATATAGAAATTTTTTGATATTTGCAACCATAGTAAAACAAAGATTTATATTTTTGATATTTACTTTATATATTTACATGCCATTTAACAAAGAAAAATCAACCAAAAAAATGAGTTCACGTGTCCTCTGACATGCGTGTCATAGGTTTGCCATCACTGCCCGAGGGGTCACTTACCACATGATGAGAAAACAAAAATCAATGCCTGACGGATTAAAGAAAAGGTTTACCTGTGTTTGTTGAGGAGAAGATAAGGGGCTTTTGAAGGCTTTGGCCATTATTCGCTTGATCTCTACACCTGTGCTATTCTTAACGCACATGGATTTATCCCACTGAATGGAATGGTCGGGCTCTGTTGGGTTCAGCCAGGCCAGCTCATCCTCACAGATGTGGAGTGGAGGTGGTGGACGAATAAACTCTGGCCGAAAATGGCCTGTAAATGAGAAGTAACACGTGACTGCTTCTATCAGTGAGTTCACACTGCACACAACTGTGTGCATCTACACGCGTTTCACTTAATGAAGTAGACTAACACCCTTTTAATAAGAATAACATGATAAAACTGTGGCTTCAAAACCAGAAGCAGAAGGGATATAGGTCAGGGTTCATTCATGATACAAAGAAAGTGAAGCACACACATTATTATGCCAGAGACCAAATGGCTGTATTTCTGGAGAAGAGAGGCACCAGGAGCTGACAACCTTCATTCGAGCGTGCTTACCACTCAGTGCAAAGGACACAACCTGCCCTACTGGTGACAGTCTCTCGGGAAAATGAAACCCTATTTGATCTCACTCATCCTATTCTTAGTCACCACTATTCTATCCTGAGACCACTAGGCTGTGCACTAGTTCAGCCTTTGCATCTTACAACCTTGAAGTGGCAAATTACATGGAGATGAAATGTCAGTGGTTGAGTGTCGACCTATGAACAAGGAGGTCACGTGGCTCAAGGTTGAACATTAACCTATGAACCAGGAGGAAACAGTTCGATTCCTGGTCATGGCACATGCCAGGGCTGCGGGCTCAATCTCCAGTAGGCGGCGTATAGGAGGCAACTGATCAATGATTCTCTCTCATCATTGATGTTTCTATCTCTTTCCCCCTCTGCTCTCTGAAATCAATAAAAATAAATATTTTTTAAAATGTATGGTTGATTTGACATTTTCAAATGAATCTGAAGACTTCCATAAATTCACAAATACCATATTCATTTTCATAAAACAGTAAAAGTACAACAGGAAAATAAAGTGACTCAACACTTCACCTATTTCATAAAACATGATTGCTCTCTAAGTTAGAAACCCACTAAAATAATGCTGGCTGGAACTTCTGCTAAACAAATTCCACACCCTGGTCTCCACACAGGGCTGATGGCTCGTTCCTCTGGATCCTAGCCCCTGCAAAATCTGAGAGCGTACTCTAGTTTACTGAAAATGTCTGTTTTCTGGCTAAGAACTAACACCGTATGTTACACTCTCTCTTCATTTACATCGCAGAACTAGCTGAAGCTCTTTCCAACAGAATCAGTTTTTAACGCTTCATGGGAAGCACGACACCGTGTGTCAGGCTCCCGCAGGAGGGATGCCTGGTGCCCTGACCGGTGTCTGCAGGTTTGCTGTCACCTGCCTCCCGTGGCCCACGCGTCAACGCTGGTCCTGGCACGTGTGAGCTACACACCGGGTGCATGAGCTTCAGGCACACCTGTGACCGGCTGAGACTTCAGTATCGCCCACTGACGCCAGAGACTTACTGTAAACGGCACAGAGTCAGTGTGAGCTTCAGGCTCATGGGGACGCTGCGATCTGAAGAACCTGTTCTCACCCCTGAGCAGAAGGCAGGCCTTCACCAGTTAAACCACACAGAAGCCTATAAAACCACAAGATGCCACTCTAATACTTCAAGGTCAATGGATTTTTTTTTAAATTAAGAACTATAAGATCAGGAAAACTTTACAATGGAGAAAATAATGATAGTGATAAAATTAATAAAGAGGTATAATAATAAGCTACAAAATAGTCTCATTTCAGTAAAATCGGAGAATGTGTATCTTCACATGCGCTGATGACAGATACTGTGATTTCATTACAGAAGGTAACTTTCACCAAGCGTCTCCACGGCCCTCTAGACACTCCACTAAGGAGTTTCTCATTAGATTCTAGTTTAAGCAGCAACGAAACTAACAATGTTTTAGAAAAGCAATTCAGGACGATGATAAAATAAAACCAAGAGTATGAAACATGTACCTACTTTCAATAGGCGGCTTCGGTCCACTGACTAAAGCTTCCGTGATCTGAGAGGCAACGGAGCTGTCAAATCCAGAATTAGAAGAGTCGGGGTCTGGGTCACTGAGAACACTGGGGAAGCCAGCCTTACTCTGGGTTGGCAATTCAGACTGGCGTTCTGAAAAGGTCAAAAACGGAGACATTTTAAAATTAAGGGCACCTCAAGGAGAATGAAAAGACAGGCTACTAACTGCGGAAAGCTACCTGCCTCACATGCGCAAAGGGCCAGATCCAGAATGTGTGTATTCTTCTTCAAAACACCTACAAATCAATTTTTAAAAATGGGAAAACATGGGCTAATGACTTCAACAAGAGTTTTATTTTTAAAAACCAAAAAGCCTGGACCTGGCTGGTGTGACTCAGTTGGGTGGGGCATTGTCCCATGCACCAAAAAGGTCAATGATACCATTCCCCATCGGGGCACATACCCAGATTGAGGTTCAATCCCTGGTTGGGGTGCGTGAGGGAGGCAACCAATCGATGTTTCTCTCCCTTCCTCTTCCTTCCTCTCTCTCAAAACTCCCTAAAAACATATCCTCAGGTGAAGATTAGAAATAATAAAAACAAACAAAAACCATAAATCCTGAATGGCCAATGAACATCTGAAAAATATTCTCAATCCCATTAGGAACCAGGGAGAAATCAGTTAAAACACAAGGTATTATTACACACCCACCAGATTGGCAGAAATTAACAAGCCTGACATTATCAAATGCAGAGGAAGTTGTCGGGTGACTGGCACACTGCTAATGGGCATGAAAACTGGCACAGCAACGTGAAAACCAAGCCCCACTACTTCATCAGTCTCCGTGTGCTTATCGTCCCATCTAGCAGAAACTGCCACGCGTGCACCAGGACGATACACAACAATGTCCACAGCATCATTACGCCCATCAGCTGTAGAGCAGATGAAGAACGTGAATCCACTACATGGAACATATACTTACAACTCGACATCAAAAAACAATCCAATTAAAAAATGGGCGTCCTGGCCAGTGGGTGTGGCTCAGTGTTAGAGCATCGCGGGTTCCCAGTCCTGGACATGTACCTGGGTTGTAGGTTTGCTTCCCCGGCCTGTCTGGGTGGGTGCAGAAGGCAACCAATCGATGTGTCTTTCTCACATCGATGTTTCTCTTTCTTTCTTTTTTAAAATATATTTTTATTGATTTCAGAGAGGAAGGGAGAGGGAGAGATAGAAACATCAGTGATGAGAGAGAATCATTGATTGGCTGCCTCCTGCACGCGCCACTGGGGATCCAGCCCACAACCCGGGCCTGTGCCCTCATCCTGGTTCATAGGTCAACACTCAACCACTGAGCCAGGACAACCAGGCTCTTTTTCTTGCTTTTCCTTTCTTTCCCTTCCTTCCTTCCTCCCTCCCTCCCTCCTTTCCTTCTTTCCTTCCTTCCATCCTTTCTCTCTCTTTTTCTTTCTCTCTCTCTCTCTCTCTCAGTCTCTCTCCTTCCCTCCCCCGAACCCACCTTCCTCCCCTCCACTCTCTAAAAATCAATGGATAGCCGAAACTGGTTTGGCTCAGTGGATAGAGCATCGGCCTGCGGACTGAAAGGTCCCAGGTTCGATTCCGGTCAAGGGCATGTACCTGGGTTGCGGGCACATCCCCAGTAGGAGATGTGCAGGAGGCAGCTGATCGATGTTTCTCTCTCATCGATGTTTCTAACTCTCTATCTCTCTTCCTTCCTCTCTGTAAAAAATCAATAAAATATATTTTAAAAAAATAAATAAAATAAAAAAAAATAAAATAAAAATCAATGGATAAAATATCCTCTGGTGAGGATTAACAAACAAAACAAATCCAAATAAATGGGCAAACAGTCTGAATACACATTTTTCCAAAAAGGACAGATGGCCATGAAAAGATGCTCAATGTCACTAATCATCAAGGAAATAGAAATCAAAGCCATGAGATATCGCCACATACATGGCAGAATGGCTATTATCAAAAACAAGAAACCTGGTTAGGTACTCAGTTGGTTAGAGCGTCACCCCAATATGCCAAGGTTGTGTGTTCGATCCCCAGTCAGGGCATATACAATAAGCAACCAATGAATGCATAAATAAGTGGAATAACAAACCAATGTTTCTCTCTCTCTCTCTCTCTCAAAAAGATAATCAATTAAAAAAAAAAAGCTTGTCTGATGTGACTCACTGGTTGAGCTTCGACCTATGAACCAGGAGGTCACAGTTCGATTTCCCATCAGGAAACATGCACAGGTTGTGGGCTCAATCTCCAGTGTGGGGCATGCAGGAGGCAGCCGATCAATGATTCTCCTTCATCACTGATGTTTCTATCTCTCTCTCCCTCTCCCTTCCTCTCTGAAACCAATAAAAATATTTTTTTTAATTCTTAAATTTCAAAATATATATTAAAAAAGTTGAGATGATAAATGCTGGCAAGGATATAGAGAAAAGGGAACCTTCGTGTACTGTTAGAGGAAATGTAAGTTGGTGCAGCTACTATAGAAAACAGTATGGAGGTTCCTCAAAAAATTAAAAATAGAGCTACCATATGATCCAGCAATTCCATTTCTGGTTGGATTCACACACACATCTCACTCACTCACTCACTCACTCACCACACCTTTGGTCCATGGATCCCACTGAGAGATCGGAATCTCAGGCCTCTGCAAAGATGATCTGTGTCGCTAGTTCCAGATAAGATAGGTGGACTTGGCTTTTTCTTCCCCCACTTGGGAAATGAATGGCTTGTGACATCTTAAACTTGGGTAGGGGACCGCAGCAGCAGGCTTGGCCAGCCACTCGGCCAAGCTTCTCAATCCTACTCTAGTCATATATTCCTTTCTGAGCTTGACATACTTTAAAACTTCTCACAGGCTGACTCGTCATCACAAGTTGAGGGATCAGATTTGATTCTCACATTACTGAATACAAAGCTGGCGTCCTCAAGCTATGTGTTACTTCTGAAGGTGAGGTCCCTGAAATTGTCGATCACCTCTGTACCCCGTTTTCATACTATCTTTGGTTTTGGAAATAATCATTTTATTTCTGTTAATAGATTGTATCTGGCACTAGAGAATAATAAGCACTTCTGTGTACCTTCAATCTGAAAAGTCTTGAAAAGATTTTTCTGGATTTCAAAAAATAACCATTATTATACTGCTAATACCCAGCAGTTAAAAAAGGAGGTCAGAATGCTGCAAGGAAAACACAGTTTGCGGAAAGATGTCACCTTATATAAGCAGCCAAATGTCACAGGTGCATTAGTCTATGACTGGGGCCCTGTCAGAATCAATACTGTGGCTCATTTAATCACAAGGCCAAGGGTCCACCAATCTGGCTACATATCAGTTTCCCTAGTGAATCACCCTCAAGCATAAGACCAGAGCATCTGTGTTTTTGCTTAGAGCAAGCAAGCAGGTGCCTCTCCTTCACTCCTTCTACCCAGTTCAAGAAGGTGCCCTTTTTTCTATCACATCACACCTCTGTTTCAGCAGTGCCCATGCATTTGCTTATATGTGTAGCACAGAAGTTGCCCAAACAATCTTGAAACAGAAGAACAAAATGGAGGTCTCGCACTTCCTATTCTCAAAACTCGTTATAGAGCCACTACACTCAGAAGTGTGGCCCCGGAATAAACAGACACGTAAGCCATGATACAGAACAGAAGTGCCAGGAATAAATCCTCCCATATACGGTCAAACCATTTTCAACAATGGTGCCCTGAGAACACTGCTTTGGCTACTCAGCATCCCTTGAGATTCCATATGAATTTTATGATGGGTTTTTCTATTTTTGCAAAACATACCTTTTATAGGAATTGCATTGAATGTGTGATCTCACTTTGAGCAAAACTGACATGAGGAACATTTTTTTATGTTTTTAACAAACAATTTTATTCAGTGTTCTTCTTAAATTGAAAAAGCAATCCATTCAAGTGAAAACTCAAAATGAACCTAGATTATGAAGGGTTTTCCTATTCTTGTCTCTTGAATTCCCCTCCAATCCATGTATCCTACACTCCAGCCGCACAAAATCTCTCAGCTTCTGATTCCAGATTTCAAGACATCCAATACTCCAAGTGCCTTTCCCTCCCCACCACCGCCTCCCATCAGTACCCAGCAAAAGTACTGGAACTGTGTTTTTCAAGGAAAATACTAATCTTTTAGCGCAGCCACAGACCTGCATGTTAAGTGGAGTAACTTAAGAAAAAACTCCTAATATAATACACAAAAATGCCCAAATCACCCATCCCTCCTTACCAGCCAAGGCTAGCTGAAGCCCGCTAATGTCCACAGACTGGCCCATGTTCCCGACATCCATCAGTGCGATCTGCCGAGGTGTCTTTTTGAAGAGTTCCCTTGGGGGTGCCAGCATTAGCTGGGAAAGAAAAAACTTTTCTGGCGGAGTTATAGGAGGTAAAAATCCTGTAAATAAAGATGTATAACAATTTCTCCAGTGGTTATTTAAAAAAATTAACACGAATCTAGTAAAATTAGCATTTGCTACTTGCCATCTCAACTTATGTTAAAAGACAAAATTATTTTAAGTTTCAGTTACTCAAATATATACATTTATGAAAATGTAATTAAATGTCATTTGAAATGCTATGATTTGTGGCAATATCAATGAAAGTTAAGATTTCTGTAATTAAGAATTCTGTTTTTAACATGCCTCAATTCCGGCGAAGGCTAAATAAAGCTTCCGTCCCGCAAGCGAAAACAAATGTAAAACTGCAACATTCAGCAATGCTTTTCCTCTGCTACCAGCCACTGTGCGGAGGTTGGAGACGGAGCCACCGCCAGCAGCGCGCCCATGCCCTCCCCTCCTTGCCTCCTCCCCTCCCGGAGGCAGCGCAGCTCCCACCTCCCATCTCCCATCTCCCATCTCCAGGGCTGACGCCGCTTCCTCCCGTCCCACCTTCAGCTGCGCACCCAGCCCCTGCCTCCCACCCAAACACCGGGCCATCCCCTGGCCTCCTCCTGCTGGGACACACAGGACAGCCTTCCTGGTTTCCAAGCCCCCAGTTCTGACTCCTGCTGACCCAGTGCCCTTAGTCCACACTCCCACTTACCTTTTAGTTACATTTCTAGGAACGAATCTGCTTACACTACTGAACCTGTTTACACAGAATTAAAGCCAGACTTCTGCACCATGATAAAACCTTCGTAATCTGGTCCTGGCCCACTTCCCTAATCTCGTCTCTTGAATTCCCCTCCAATCCAGGTGTCCGACGCTGCAGCTGCACAACCTCTCTCAGCTTCTGATTCCAGATTTCAAGACGCCCAGTATCCCACATTCTTTGAGACCTGCAGGGCCCCCTCCCTCCCCGCCACCACCTCCCATCAGGACCCAGCAAAAGCGTCCCTCCTGCCCTGGCCGGTTTGGCTCAGTGGATAGAGCGTTGGCCTGGGGACTCAAGAATCCCAGGTTCGATTCCGGTCAAGGGCATGTACCTTGGTTGCGGGCACATCCACAGTGGGAGTGTGCAGGAGGCAGCTGATCGATGTTTCTCTCATCGATGTTTCTAACTCTCTATCCCTCTCCCTTCCTCTCTGTAAAAAATCAATAAAATATATTTTTTTTAAAAAGCGTCCCTCCTGGGAGCCGGCAGGCCACAGGCAGCTGTCCCTGTGCCCCCAGCATCTGCAGGCAGCATGAGGCACAGCCCGACCACACTGTGGACTGTGTATGTCTCCCCAGCCAGCCGAGGCCTTTCTTGGTTCAGGGAAGCCTTCTTATTTACTCCCATCCATTCCCGACCCTGGCTCCGCATCAGGGCGCACCCACTGGAGGCTCCCCCTCGGCTGGGCACCTAGCCTGGGCCTGACATTCCCTGCTGGGTATGTGAGCACCACCCCCAGCTAATTTAATAAAAGTAGGACTGATAGGGGGTAGCACTTACCAAGAGATACTTTTACTCATAATAATTCTACCAGCTAGGAACTGTCTGCATTTTCACAGACAAAAAACTGAGGTAGAGAGAGATAAAATAAGCAATCCAAGGATTCCTTCCCTGGCAAATTTGTGTTTACAATGAAATCTACTGTCTAGATTTAGGTTTAGACTCCTCAGATTTGAGAATGACATCATATAAGGCATTACCCCTTTGTCTACCCTGAGGAATTCAAAGGGCCTTGTGACCTAAACCCCAACCTGTCCGTCCCCATCCCCTCGGCCCTAGGGGCACCCGGGGGGGGGGGGGGGGGAGGGGGGGACGCATGGTGGCTTCCCTCTCCATCTCGCAATTCCCGGGAGCCAGCCCCCTAGCCCCCTGCCTGTCCGGGGATTTCCTCCCCCAAACCCCGGGGGGACCCCCCAGGAAAAAGGCCAAAAAGGGGGTTAACCGGGTCCCCGGGCCCGGGAAGTGCGGGGGGGGCCCCCTGG